TGCTGAAAAGTTACTTCAGCTATTCTCAACGTCACGGATACTATAGGCCTAACCTATCATTCCAGCTCATTTTTCCACTGAAGGATTTCTCGCTGAAAGCACATCATTATGATCATTTGGATCTGCATGGCCTTGTTTTACACCTGTTATGACTACTGAATTCAAATCTGAGAAGGCTGTAACGTAGCATACAATATCACTTTATTAGACTGACGGTTCAATAAGAAGCAAGAAGAGATTTAACATAGGCTTTTTTCAGCTTTACGGGCTATAGCTTTCTGTACTTGAGACTCAGTATTATGAATGCTTTCGTTCATTTAAAAGTATAGTTTTCGTGTGTGTGTGTGTTCAGCAGTGAAAAATAGAGAAGATGTTACAGGCACTCTAATATACAAGCTCCCACACCCCTGCTGCAATCTGCAGTCACTTTTGCCATAGATAAAAAGCACAATCACACAACTACACAATCATGCATCAGCTGTCTTTACTGAAAACTGAAGAATACCCATCCAAAGAGCAATTCTAGGTTAACCAATATCCTACTTCACCCAAAATGTTGACCCTTAGCTGCCATGAGACTTCAGAGCAAACCTGAAGATCAGCAGATCTGAGGTATTTCAGACAAAAAAAAAAGCAAAGAAAAAAAATTAATTACAAAGTTAAGGACCTTTATTCAGTGTGTTTTCCCCCAGCCCTCTATGTTTCATAGGAAAGATAATTTGAAAACAGGCGCTTTGGCTGGTTTCAGCTGTAACTAAAGGGCAAAAGCAGAGAGATTCCTCTTGGAGAACAAGTGTAGCGAGATTTCAGCAAGATATAACAGGAAACCTACAGACTGCTGTTATCTGTGCCAGCTCTGGTAACTAAGTGGATTTAAGGTATAGCGCTCCATAGAGTGCACTGCAGTGGCGTACTGTTGAGGTGGGAGGCATGGATTAAAGTAGCACACTCATATCCAGATAAAACTACCATGCTCTCCAGACCAGACAGGATTTACAATATATTTTCCAGTCACTGTTGCTTTTCGTTTAGCAGCGCTGCCAGACTGTGACCACAAAGGAGCAGTAGGCATGCACCTAGAATGAAATGCAATTTTTGCCATGTCTTCTGGCTATCTTCCATTCAGCCCTATCTGGACAGGACTTCAAGAAGCTGGTTTCATCTGTGCCCAAGCCTCCACAGCATTGTCTGCAGACTGAACTAGTTGGTAGCTTAATTTGTTGGGTTATAACAAATAGTGAGTCTGGGGCACTAGTGCCCATGAGAGCCATATATGCATATCATAACTTTCTCCTTTTAGGGTTGCTTTTCCTGCCCTAATTTATACTGCCTACATTGCAGTGCATACATTTATGTGGTTAACGTTCAAACTGCCAAGATTACACCATAGTGATGTGTGCAACAGAAATGCCTAGACAGATGGATGCCATATCACAGATTTCTAAAAGAGGAGAACTTGCAAAGCCAGAAGCTCACACTTCAAGAAAACTCATTTGCTAGCACAGGGGTCACTGAAAACAGACTGTAATGCTTAAAAAAAGAAAAATATTCTCAAGTAAGCACTGCTGACACAGGTATATACTCTTTCCTAGAAATGGTCTCTAGTCTGTTACGCTGCCAGGAAATGATTCGAGAAAATTACGATTTTCTTCAAATTTTTGATTTATAAAGAATAAATGCAAATCTCTTGCAAAAAAAGTCTATGGCATAGGCCGCTTTGCAAATAGCCTTCCTCTTTAAATAAAGAAAAAAAATGATGCTAAAATGAGGAATCTTACTCATTATACCAGTGTCTGTTCGGCAGCTTCAATGCTTCATACATAATCATGGACTAGATTATGTCTAAGTGAGAAGTAGCAATGCAAGTTTAAATCACTACAGAGTGAATGGTTTGGACTGCTCACAGATGCAAGGTCTCTGGGAGACAGGCTCTCTCCAGCTACTGATAATGAAACAATAAGACAACAGGTGCTGCTCTGCCAAACCCTCTGGATATTTTGATAAAACAAACTTGCTTCTACAAAGGGAGCAAACGGACAGGCACAGAGATACAAAGGAGCTATGACTGTCTCCTTTGATAATCCTGCTATGGAAAAAAGGAAAAGTAAAATTGCCACTCACAAACAACTGCCCGTTTTGAGGGAGGGGGATACAGGTATTGCACAGCAATGCCGACACTGCCATTCAGTAAATTATGTTTTTTCAATTCCATTTTGGTTAAAAGAAAATGAGCTACATTGCTGGCTTATTGATCTTTAGAGGTTACCGGAGAGAGAACGTGGGTATACATTAAAGGAGCCTGCTTAAATAAATGTAAAGGTCATAACGAAGCAAGTAACAATTTAAGCAAAGAATCTAAAGCTAGTGAAATCCACAAAGTGATGTATATATTATAGGAAATATAGCGTTCCCTACCTAACTGTACTATACTATGTTCTCATACAATTTCTTTCAAAAAGTCCCTCTCTGCCTTTCATCTTACACATATATCAGCACTGTTGTTATGCAAGATGGGGAATCATTCATTTTAATGTGATACCAGGCATATTAGCACAAAAACAGAGAGAAGCTACCATTTTACCGACTACCTAATTCAGAAGCTCTACAGTACAAATTCTTTGCAGCCCCTTGCTGCACACAAAAGATTTAATGCTGAAGCTGAAAAGGCACGTGTACATAAAAGCCAAGAACCGGCTAGTGCTCCTCATTTTAGCTTTTTCCTTTTCTCCCTCTTGCTACAAAAGATGCAGCTCTCACTCTTTCTAACTGCTAAAAAAGGCAATTTAATGACAGGTAGATTCGCTCATTTGTAGCTTCTTTGAACCCACAACACACTGACTGAAGGAAAGTAACTTTAGCTAGAAAAGAGATCCTCGCAGCGCTATGGTGAATAATTCATCATCGCATTTTCCTTTTCATCTCCTTTTGTGCCAGTAACGTACACAACCGAAAATATTGTAAAATCTAAAAACAGCCACAGACAAGGACCTCCAGCAGCAAAATACACACAAAACTAGCAGGCAGGTTTACCCAGCTTATATAATAACAGCTCCAGCTCAGCAGAACCCCCATCACTCACCGAAGACAGATTTCACTTGAACAAAAGCAGAGACCAGGCACCAAACGCAGCTTCGCAGGACTCTCAGTGCAAGACTCTCCTGTCTGCTGTTCAGTTCACACTTGCCTTTATAACTAAGCCAACCAACAACATTCAGTTGCTGAACCTGATGAATTATAAAACGGTAGCTCCCAGACTCTCATATTTTACATCACAGGGGGTGGTCATCCAGCATACACACTGCCTGTGTACATATATTCCGCTATAACTCATCCTGATAAACACATCAGTGCTGGCAGCAGAGACAGTAATTGGTGCTCAGGATGTACAAGCACAAACCAATAGAGCACGCTCCCACCTTCTGCTCCGCGCAGCGTCGCTACCTGCCAATCACCGCACCTTGTGAAGGTGGGATGATCATCCACACTTCAGGGAGAAGCAGGACGCAGAGCAGAAACCTTCCACCCGATGCGATTTCTTCGCTTAAATATTTCTTAACACAATATTAAATGCATCTGTCCAGTCTAGACACAGTTTTCATTTTTTTTTTAATCTTCATAAACTATATGTAAACTATTCCCTTCTTAAAGATACAGTTCTTGACTAATACACAGTTCTTAACTTCCACTGTCATGAATGGAAATTACCTAGGAAAATTTCTTGGACATTAACATAAGATTAACATAAAATCATTACTTCAGGTAGGATGACTTGTTAAATGCACATACTTACTGGGAAAAAATATGTGTACATTTAATATGTCTCTTATAAAATGCTGATAGGTTTTAAGAATGGCCTATAAATTATAAATAAGTATCTCTAATGCTCTTTACTTCTCTAATGCTTTTCCTTTCCATATTTCTGCATTGTTTTTAAAATAAAAATTTACATACAAAATAACAGAATCGGACCACTAGAACTTAGATCCATTAATACAATCAACAAAACTAAACGATTTCAGATGGGATTAATTACAGCAACAGCAATGGCAGTTGCTTCATATGGTACAAATTAACGTTCACAAATCACTCCTAATAAGCGAAGCTGGTTGTGGTATAGGTACTACTCAGCCATACAAAGAGTTTTTTACGGAAAGTTTTTTTTTTGATAGAGCAGAAGCTGATTATTCATTGAGGTATAGGAATTTTTAATATGTTTTACACAAATTTGAGGCTATTTGTGGGAGTGCAGGATGTGAATGAGAACCTCGGGATGATTTTCTATTTCTACATCACTGGCCAAGACTATTAGAGGGCTCCACTCGGAGCCTGAACTCGCTCCAGCTCCTCTCATTCCCCGCGCCGTAAAGCTGTCCCAACATTTGGTACGGCGATGAAAGGCTCTGCCTCCGAAGGTGAGGATAGCCGGTGCGCAGTTGTGCGCGCGGTTGTGCATTGCCAGGATGCCGTTCCATGAACAACTGGGCTGGGGAATGCAAATGAAGCTCGAGCGCGGCCGCTCGAGGCAGAAACCCAACCCTTCTCGCCATCTGGAGCGACTGATGTGCGTCACCATGTGGGAACAGGGTGTTGCATTTCACGCATAGCAAAAGCAAGTCCTATATATATTCCTTCGCTCCCCTCCACAGCTGCTTGCTCCCCCCTCCTCATTTGTTTCTTTGTCTTCAGCACCTTCACATCAGAGCAAAAAAGCATCACTGGAAGGCTAGAGGCACAAGCCATGCTTCTGCATGCCCTACTGCCTCTTACTACAGTGGCCTCTGTGAAGAAAAAGCTGCGTATAATTGGGTGGCAGAATATAGGACAGACATATCAGGGCTTAATCAGAGCAATGGTTTTGATGTTTCTATCTTTCTTGGAGGAAAGGGCAGCTGAGATCCAGTAACTGGACTCTCCAGTGATGCTAGCTGGGAATAATCCAATATGGGCAGAAAAAAATTCCAAATGACAGACTCTGGCTCAGTGACAAGCAGCAAAAAGATCTGTGCCACTGGATTTTGCCTTACTGAGACAAATTTTATTCCATGGATCCACGCATTCACTTGCAAATTATGGAGGTTCTCCAAAATGGCCCAAGCGTAATAGGGCGGGTTTTTTTTTTTTGGTGCACTAGTTAGGTTTTTCTGAGTCATTTCCCATAAAAGATAGGATTTAAACCATAGAGGCCAGAATGCCCCTAAAAGGCATCTATTTTTCTTTTATGCTTTGCTTTAGCCATGAAGGTTTGAAGAGGTTCTTAAAATTTCATGTAAACGCAACCCTGATTTATAATAATTTGATGTACTGTGATGAAGGCATAAGTCATGTTTGATTGAATCTCCTCGACCAATATAACATTCACCTCAAAATTCAGTTTACTTACATTGAATTATAGAGTTTTAAAACTGACCATTATCACAATAATGTAACACGCTGTAGTATTTTATAGCTGTAGGTAAGTGGCATGTTATCTTTCCATGAAAAGTATTTCATAGCTACTACTGCCAAAATATTCGGCAGTAGGATGAATAATAAATAAATAAGCCAATAAAGCCTGCTACCTTCTTGGTGAATGGATACACTTATCTCACAACCCATGTCCTCTAGGCTCTGTTCATACATTCTGATGCTGAATGTGAGATTTCAAATTTGAATTTTCTCGCTTCACTGACAGGTGTGTGAAAACCATGTATGGCTGCCAGATTTATATATACTTACATATACATATAGTATGTGTTTTTAAAGGCATTTGTAACAAATACATTTGGTAATCACTTTGAGGTTCTTTGTTTCAAGCTGCAAACTAGATACGATGTAAAAGTGGAAAGAAGACAAAAGCCTGCCCATTTGCTGCCAAAACATGACTTTCTTCCATAGCCTTATGGACTATAGTGACTACACATAATAAACATCACATTTGCTATCTAAAGTGAATGCAAAAATCACTGGGGAAAAATCTGGGCTTCAGCTCAAGAAGAAGCTAAGGAGGCTTTAAATTAAGAGCAACTACAGGCAGTTTTGATTATACCAAGGTCACAGATTAACTAGTGGAGTCAGCACTCTGGGACCTCCGAAGTGTGAACCCAGAGTACCAGATGAATAAATATGTGCCAAAAGAGATGATTTCCAAGCTACACTGGATGATATGGCTGATCAGTACGCTACTCAGTAAATGTTGCCAAGTGCCCTAAGAAGTCATCATGCAAACCAACGAGGTATTCAGTACCTCACGTTTAGCAATTACACTCTTCAATTCCTTCAGTGAATTTTGTCAGATTTGCATGAGTAAAAAGAAAATCTTTTTCCTATGATAGCCTGTTGATGGCCCTATCAGAAAGTATACTAAAGTCAAAAGCCTAGCAGGATTTAGCAAAGGACTGAGCATTTAACATCCAAAAGTATGGTAATAACAATGAAGAAACCTAAGCTTTCCAACGAGCAAGGGATCTAATAAAGCTTCATTCCCTACAGATGATTCTCCTTTGATCACAGACCCAGCTATCCCTCTGCCTCAATCTGCAATATCTCAGTTCAGCTTCTCCCTCCCACATCCTCTAGAAGACAGAACCCAGAACTTTTGTGGCTGCAGATTCAGTCATTGATCGGTTAGTTGCCTGCCTTCCTCCCAGTGAAGGAACTAACTTTGATCTCTCTTCCTAATCCAACTAGAAATTGTCTATGAACTTAGTTAATTCTGAGACCCCACTTTTTCTTTCCAACTGAAAATGGCTAAGCATACTTTCGAAGGTCTTTTATTACATTTGATAAAGGTTACCACCAGTTACACAGAATTTCACTGCCTCTCCTTTATGAAGGGTAGTAGACTGAGAGCACATCATTGTTGCACCTTTTGAATACAGAAATCTATTAAACTTCTAATTCTGGCTGAGATCATTACGGATTTCTTAATTTCACAAGCCACCCCTAAGCCCCAAAATGTATAATGAATTACCAGTTTGGGATATCTGTGGTCTGAAGCCAGTAGGAATTTGTCTGTACATAAATTTGTGAGGAAATAGTACAATAAACTGAGTCAGACACAAGATTTCATTGCTGTAGCCTACATACATCATGTGTTGCAAAATAAATAGCAGTGACAAAGTAAATGAATTTAATTGCCACGACAAGGTTATGGAAAAATTCATTTCCTCTCAATGTAGCATACTTTTAATTCCATTTAGGAATAGTTTTTAAATAGAGTTTCAAGTTCTAAGATTAATCCTCATGCGTACAAATGAATAAAACTATATATTTAGATTAATTAATAAATTAGCTTGCATAGGGCTTTGAAGATGTAAAGGACTGTACAAGTGCTATTTCTGCAATAATATTTTTCCAAATTACAATATTTTTCTTCCTCAAGAGACATCTTTTTGCTGCAAGTGGAGAGTGCAACCTCAAGTTCTCTTTCTGAATGAGAACTACGTTTGAAAAAAATAAAGAAAAAGGGAATTAAAGAGAATATTCAGCTAGGTCTGAAGGAACAGACACCCAGGAGAGCGATTCCAGTTGATGAAGGGCAATGAAAAGAACTTGCTTTACTAGTTAGGAAGGCTGAACTCTCTTAATGGGGGCTTCATAGTCTCAAGAATATGAATGATCTTATTACTAATAGAGAGGAGCTGCTAAGAGGAAGGATGGACAGGTGGCACTTTCCCTTTGAAGAGGATTTGATTTGAAAAGCCTTTTATAGCATCCAATGAACCTGGAATGATACAGTAGTCCATTTAAAAGGCAGTGGATTTCCCAATAGCAGCCTGAGACTTTGTACAAATGCTGCCTTTCTTTTCAGCTTAGACCAGTTCAGGTGGTTAAAAGAAAAAGAAACTTGGATGAGAAACTATAGCTGAGGATTCAGAATTGCTTTGTTTTGTTGCTTAGACTTTCATTTCCCCTTTATCTCTGTGTTTCCCACAGTTTTCTGTCTGTTATTTCCTTTCAAATGAGTTGCAGTGTCTGAAGCTTGAATTCAAGTCCAAAATAAATCATAAATAACTTACCAGTTTCATGAGCTGGAAAACTAGCTCCAGATCCACTTTCTCTTAGATTAAAGATTAGGTTCAGTGACAAACCAGATAAGCATCTTACTTATATCTTTTTCACAAAGGAGAAACTCCCTCATTCAACTCCTGATAAGCTTGGTGCAGGGAGCAAAAGAGTTAACAGCTTTATATGGAGAATAATGGCAGAGCAAGATGAAGATCCTCCTGCGATTTGCAGTCTATCCCTGTTATGTACTCTCTGTGGTGGGAGGAGTAGGTGGCTGATTTAGGGACGAAGTAAAGCAAAGGAATGATACACTTGACTTCTCTGAGAGTGCTGATGAAAATCTTTGTCAGCTTGGCATAGTCCTTCATATTATCCATAACAATTACCGATGCATGG